AGGTGAATTTCATAGAAGTAAATCTAGATTGTGCATCATAATGTATTGTAAGACCTGTGAAGGGGACGAAATTTAACAATTTTCCGTTTGTAAAAATCGACTGTGGAGGTTAAAATGGGGAAAAAAAGGGATACAGAAAGCGACAGACCTCTCAGATGGGACAACTTACGTAGAGTGGAGAATGTGTCATCACATTTCCGGCGTATCCGCAGATTGGAGGTGAAATATCGACCAGCGAGAAGCCAATTCAGCATTTGAGCACTGCTGAATTCACCTTGAATATTGCCTTGGGGATCCTCATAGTACCATAGTTGATCATCGTTAAGGGCGCCACTTCCAGTTCCGCCCCCCTGTTGTCCTGGATCGAGACCATCGCCCTCATAACCGAAGGCATTCTGCACCGGGCGAGATTTAGTTTTAGTCACTGAAGAATTATGGTTCATCTGTTCGTTTGATCGTGCCAAATCAGCGACGCACTTAACGCAAACATTGAGTTATTCTCAAATGATCGTAAGTGAAGCGAAAGGTGGAAGGTAGTCATTCTATGCGACCCTATCATGCGAAATAGTCGAGTATGGATAGTGCGCTTAGATTTAGCTATAGGTAGGCCCCACCCTCAAGAGTCCATGCATTTTATCCAAAACACCCAACTGGTAAAGGTAGTACAGGGAACCAGATTAAACAGTAGCAACAAATGCATTCATCCAGCATGCAGTGCGAATGAAACATTCCAAATTCAGGACAACAGATAATGCATCACTCTGAGGCCCAGTTACAGCAAATACCTCTGTCCAATAATTGATGTGAAATATTAGAACGAAACAACTAGAGCATGGAAGAAATAATGGCCATTTGCTGGGTCTAACGCGAGGACAATTCGAACAAGTGTGATATGCGTTGACAGTGAACTGTTTAAATTTAATTAGTCATTACAGTAGAAGGTTCTGCGTGGGCTTGCTAACCCAACAATTAGGGTTCGCACACTGCAGTCACATGTTCATTAGGGTGAGGGCTCAGATGGTAGCGAAAGCTCAGCAGATGAGTTAGAGGCGTAACGATACCGCATCAAGAGGAAAAATGAATCTAAGGGCACTAACGCTTCAACAGAGCGAAAATCGTACCGGAATCTTGGCGTAACCAGGCACTTTATTTCTGAAAGCTCCAAGGGCATCGTGCTGAGTGTACTGATTTGAAGTGGTAGGCCGATGGTAGCCATCAACTTTTTGGTTGAAAACCATGGAATCCACACCTGAACACGGTACAGCTTCCTGTGACGTCGACGACGGTGGCCAGAAATTGGACTGCGTTTGATGAGCTAGAAGACAAGATCTATCCACGACGGATAGTGCCTATGCATAGACAAAAACCCAAGTTATGAAATGGAACCAAGGCCAAAATAGGATGTAAAACGTGCCACATGAATACCTTGGCCTTTCTGGAGAGCGTCGGTAAGTAGTTAACAAATAAGGTGGAGCCTAATGCAAGTGAACTCTGCCTACGGTTATATAAATAAAAGGTGCATAAAGTACATAATGGAAAACAGAGGCGTAACTTAGGAGGGCGCACCAGCGACAGCACCCACAAGGAAAAAAAGTTGAGTGGTAATGAAACCAATGTATGATGCGCCAAGAACTCATTTGTTCTGAGGTCATTATGCATCGAACGTCGCCGGTTTTTATTAAAATACTTCAAAAAATGACGCTAAGATAGTGGTTGCAAAAACAATTGACTTATCAAATGTGTATAAAACCACGAGAGATACCTGTTGCATTTAAATGTTCATGAGTTCATGCCCATAGAGACGAAGTCTAGCAAAAATTGCAAATATTCAATGTTCCGCCCCTTGAAAGGGGAGCCACCCCTATATCGTGCTCATGCAAGAAGGAGCAAGAATAAAGACAACGACGAATGTGCTCTCCGTCGGGGGCGGAGCTCAACCAACCTGCCCAAGCACGGAGGACTCAGAAGGGGGAATGGGCCGCTGAACAGTGGAAGGGTCAGCTACAAAGGACATTCGAGCTACTGCATCAGGTAGGCACGTGGCCGCACCAAAATCAGCAGTATTGATACCCTGACCAGGGGGCAAGTTGATGCTCCTACCCTCATCCCCTACTGCGATATTTGTGGGGCTGTCAGGGGATGAAGTGCTGGAAACAGATGCGGTCCGACCTCTTCGCCTATGAAGGTTTCGATTCTGTTGAGAATTGGAGGTCGAAGTTTCAGAGGCACTCTGACCTGAACGAAGAACCTATGAACACACCAAGGAGAACTAGTGTTCACTATTAATAGGGTGAATGGAGAACCACGGGCAATAGTTTAAATCATAAAAGATATCTAGCACCGAGGACCAATATGTACATAGACCTTGAAATGGTTGCAAGTAACGAAGACGAAGTTTATTGACGAAACGCTAATAAATTTACCGGGACATTTTTATGAGGTGACATCCCACCGCCATCGCTCGATGTCCGATTACGCCAGGAGCGCTCAAATTCTGACCGCTGAAAGAGAGAATCAACCTCCCCCGTCGGATCTTGCAGCGACTTGGCCCATTCCACACCTTTTCTACCGCCACCAGGCCCTAGGTTCGAATCTGCCCACGACGCAGAACACCAAGATGGGGTAGAGATCTCACCGGGGAACATAGGGCAAGCGGGATTCTCTATATTATTGCTACTGACTGGTGCATTGGACTGAACGTAGAAGCTTGGGACAACACCCATCCTGTAGGCGAAGTCCTCACTGCGTAGACCCATCAGTTGAGGCCCTGTCACGTGGATATCGGGGTTAATCCGATCCCGTGACTGCAGTTCGGAGCACTTTTTCCAGCTACATAAAACCAACAAATGAAAGACGATTAAAATGACCCACACTGACAAACACAACGTCTAAATGTATGAAAAGATCAAACTTCGCGCGCCTTGGCACCTGTAAAATGGGCAACGACAGGGTTCCCGGAAGGTGAAAAACAGCCATTAGGGACGCAACTAACTACCTTAGGAAGGAACTATCAGGATTTTCAGCAAACGCTTCATCCGCGTAAGAAATGGAAGCATCGCGAACATCTGCTTTTGTGCCTAGATCAACGATAAGACATCGAAAACACTACCACGTGGTATGCCACCTGACAGATTTGGCTGCCCATCGAAATTGTCCACATTATTACTCTGAACATGAAATCATTAGAAGGAGATATTCATGTTACATCAGGCTGAAAATTAGGTGGCAAAGCTCCACTTCGTGAGTCAGGAAGAATAGTGTTCGGAAAGCCCGACGGAGGTACACTATTAACATTAGAAATAGGATTATAAAGCTCTAGATATTCCGAGGTTGAAGGTTTCGAATCTAAGTAAAAATAATTCGGAAAATAAGACGAGTACCCCGTGGGATAGAATCAACTGCAGATAACAATCTGCTCTCAGAGGAGATCACATTTTCTGTAAAAGAGGACATCGCGCAACAACAAATTCAAAGGAAGTATATATATAACCGAACCTCTGCTGGCAGTATCGATTGACTAGCAAAACCGCCCTATTGAACCACAACTCAAACCCTTTGCCAGCTGTAAAAAAAGCAGTCAGGGGACCCGCGTAAGTGGCCGTCGACAATGTTACAAACAAAGTTGAGAGATTTTATTACAAATATAGATGTAACTAAAATAATTGTTTTACATGTAAATAATAAAGCTTAATATTTAAGCGATTCTTTTCAGTTCCAGCCTCGTGAGATATGATAGCGTCGTCTACCGGTCTTTCATGAAACCACGCGCATTTAAATAAGAGATTGGCGTTCCGAGTTTAAAAAAAGTAAATTATTTTAATTGGATTTTTACGATGCAAACTGTGTTCTTTGCACCTTTGCGGTTTGCGTAGTGCTAGCATGTGTCCTAATGAATAACCGTCTAAAACAGGCAGACCTTAGCTGCGATTATGCATCCAGATGTAGCGACTTGAGACTTCCCATCGGGAGGTAGTAGGCAGTAAGCGAGACTGGACACATGTATTCCAAAAAAGAACGAAGCGACTAGGCCTGAACACGGCCCCAGGGCCAGCCCACACCCAAAAGGGCCAGGCAAACCGTAAGGTAACCACCAAACGTCCAGTTGTATCATAAGTTTAGCATTGCTGTCTTTCTCTTCTTTTGAGTGACGTCCTTGGCGCTCCCCTTCCGCACACCTCCGGCGCCAGCCATCACATATTCG